CCACAGCAGCACCCTTATAATTGTAGGCTCCGGGCAAAGCAGTGCACTGGGGCACTGCCTCCACAACCACTCACATGAATGAAAATGTTAATTATTGATTAATTAAGCCAAACATTGGTACATTTAACAAAAGCTGAGTTTAAACATTAAAAAACGTGTTTTACAGCAGGGATTAATCCACCCAAATGTTTAGTAAGTAGCAGGGGGAGGCAAGTGACATGGACTGTTAAAAATATTAGAAGAACTTTATTATAACTTTACGGCTTAAAAAAATTATTAGTTTTGATTTTGTCTTGCTTATGTACAATTAGTACGGTACGTTCCTTTTGTCAAGGTCAAGATATGCATTCACAACAGCAAGATCGCATGTACAGATAACAGCTAATACTGAGGTGATTAGTCCACATAAATGTTTTAATAATGAGAGTTTGAAGGTTCTGAATAATATACTGAAAGTTGTCAAGACTATGGAACTCCTATGCCCAGCGTGCCCATGCATTAAGACAACTCTGATGCATACTGAAGGTAAGACAAGGAGTGGTACAGGAAGTTTATAGGGGTATTGATGAGTGTGCAAGTTTGCATTTTCCTTAATGTGACCTTAGCTGCATGGCACATTAGGATTCAGTAAGTAAAACATATATGCTACTAGGCACCGACTGTAGAAAATTGGATTCAATAAGAAGTAAAGTTAAGAAACAAAACAAGAAGTCGTGTTCTGAAGCAGTGCTATGGAATGTGAGGAAGTGCTGCTTACAGGAAGCAGGTTATGAATACACACAGCACATTGTGTGACTAATGAGGAAATGTTGTTTAATTAAGCAGTTCAGTGATGCATGGCATATCAGTGACTTGTACACTGCAGCAATACTGAAATAAAGTTCAAAGTTCAAACTTTGCATTATCTGAGGCGTGGTTAAATAGGGACATAAACATAAAGGGTTACTCCAAGCACCATGGCCACTTTAGTAAAGGGGACATGGTGCCTGGAGTCTGCATGGTCAGTGTTTCACTATGAAGATACACAGAGATTAACCCCTATGCTGCCGGAGGTGTAACACTACCCCGAGCGGTACCATTGGGCAGCACAGAGCAACAGTTCATGGAGGCTGATGTGAGTTCTGTGCAAAATTGGCATCTGACACCAGCAGGTAGAGCATGCTGGTGCCAGACAGTAAATTGTGGCATTGATCCCCCTTAATGACAGGGAAGTACTTCTTCCAGCCTATACTCCCTGACATACCTCCACCTCTGGAGATAAGAAGTGACATCAGCAGAGGAAGGATGGGCTGCAGGCAGGGCCGTCTTTAATGTTGATTGGACCCTGGGCAAGCATTTGCTTGGGGCCCCTGGTCCCCTCCCTCCCACCTTCTAGCATGCAAACACACCTTCCACCCAAAGACAGACGTAAAGAAACACACATAAAGAAAACACACACATAGATCGTAGACTTAGCCACACTTATTTTTCACCCAGAGAAAATACACACACTGACACATATACAGATGCAAACACTGACACATATGCAGATACACACATACACAAGCTCAGACATACACGGGTACAAACATCCAAATACACAGACATACAAAGACAGATACACAGACACACATGTGCATACACAGATACACACTGCCACAGATACACTCACTGACAAACATGCAGAAATACACTAACACACACAGATAAACAGACGAACACACCCTGGCATATATGCAGATACACACAATAACACACATGCAGATACATACATAGACACAAATGCAGTTACACAGACACAAACTAACTCATACAGATGCACAGACACACATACAGACACAGATACACAGACACAGACAGATACACAGGAGCACATACTGACACACATGCAGATACACAGACATACATACCAAGAGATACACATACAGACACAGAGATACACATACAGACACACTGACACACATGCAGTTACACAGACACACTTAATGACAAACATTCAGATACACAGGATGACGCTCATATAGATGGCACACACAGATACAGAGCGGCACACACCGACAGACATACAGACACACGTACAGACAGATATGTATACAGACTGAGACACATACAGACACACAGATACCCATATAGACAGATACACACACAGATACACAGACACATGCATATACACATACAGTCAGATACACAGACATACATGCATATACACATACAGACACACAGATACACATACAGTCAGATACACACACAGACTGATACACATGCAGACAGCTATACACACACAATCATACACACATGGAAAATATACAATTTCAGTCACCCTCCTGTTTCCTACCTGGGGTCCAGTGGCTGTCTGAGGCTGTTGGGAGTTGGGCTCTATCCTAGTCAGCACTCTTCTTCCCTCCCACGCGGTACTCTCTGTGTTAGCTTGGAGGAAGTGATTGCACTTCCTCCTAGCGCTGACCTCATCCCAGGGGGCCCGGTCGTGCCGTAAAAGCCCTGCAGCACTGACCCAACCCCTGCATACTCATTGCTATCGGGTGGCCCTTAAAGCATAGGCCACCCGATGGGACCCTCCGTAGTATCACGCGGTCCGCATGCACCATGGCGGCCGGCAGGCTCAAGGGTCAGCTGCTTTGGGCCCCCTTAACAATGACAGGGCCCGGGGCAGCTGCCCCTTTTGTCCCTCGTTAAAGACAGCCCTGGCTGCAGGGAGCACTTGGCCTATAGCTTTTTGTGTCTCATGGGTGACTAGCTCACTCCCATTCTGGCGTGAGTCACAGACGGTTTAGAGTTAGCCTAAGTGCTGTAAAACTTTAAAATCTTTTGCCAAGGGGAAATTCACAATAGGAAGTTAATAAATGCCACAAAACAAAAACAAACCATTCTCTGGACTGTGATCATATCTCATAAACAAACACTGTTACTATAAAAATAAACATGTAGGTTGTCCCTGGGAATCCCCTATTGTGCCTTCTGAGATCCATGTCGATGTCTACTACCCCAAATATGAAATCTGAAGAAAAAATGCACAAGGGTTCCAAGATGTACTAATTGGGGAAGGCCAACCATTGCTCTCCTCTTAAACCAAATGAAGGTAGATCCCAGGGTCTTCAGTTAAAAAGGGGGTTCTCCAAATAGGGGTCCTCCTCTATCTTCCCCATGTGCATTTGTAGTGAAGTAAAGTTACATGGCACCCGGATCTGCTGCTGGAATCAGTCTCTATACACTAATCTGTGTATAGCCAGACCAGAACAACAGTTCCAGGTGGCTAATCTGAGTTCCTGCTGCTCTGCACTGTTGCCGGAGCTGGGATGGCGTCATATCCTGGTTCCAGCAACATTACAAGCAGGACTGCCATCAGGAATTTACACAGCTCTACCCAAGTGCACCCACAGAACCCGCATCCCATTCCACCATCGTCTTGTATGCATTTCGAGCTGTGGTAGGGGATGTAGTTTGTTTTTGTAAGGGATGTAATGTGTGTTTAGGGAATGTAGTGTAATTGTATAGGAATTCCAGTGTATATAGGGGATGCGGTGTGTGAAAGGGATGCCGTTTATTTAGAAGATGCAGTGTTTCTGTTTGTAAGGGATGCAGTGTATGTGTAAGGGATGCAGTTTGTGTGTGTATAACAGGTGCAGCATGTAGATTGTAAGGTAGTTTAGGCAGGGCACTCTTCACCTACTCTTCCTGTATGTTATATGTTTTGTTAGAATTGAATGTCTGTTTTCTTTCCTATTGCACAGCGCTGTGGAATATATTGGTGTGGTGCTATATAAATAATTGTAAATGTGTGTGTTTAAGGTATATAGTGTGTATATAATGGATGCGTGTGTGTTTAGAGGGTGTGTCTGTGTGTATTGAATTTAGTGTGTGTATAAAGGGTGAAGTATATAACTGTATAGTGAATGCAGTGTGTGTGTGTGTGTGTCTGGGGATGTAGAGATGTGGAGTGTGTCAGGAATGAAGGGATGTAGTGTATGTCTGCCAGCCTTTGTGGGTGGTATAAGGGATGTAATATGTGTGCAGTGAGAGGAGCAAGCTGTTTTAACTTTTTGCTATATTTTATGATTTTTCCCCTCTCCCTGCCTCAAACCTCTGGCAAGAGGGGACACAACATTCCTTGGTGGCTACATTGACTCTTGAGTGCACCTCTGGCAGATGTCCAGGCTCTTTATGCTATGACAGCTGGATTTGCGAGAGAGGGAGGGCACAGCAGAGGAGGAAACAGAGTCTACTGGGTCACCAGGCAATATTTGATCTCCCTTCCCCGCGACGGTTAGATATATCTATACACATTTATAGTATGGAGGCCAGGTCTGGAATCCTCATAGGTATATTACCCCCTCTAATCACAGCCCTGATTACAGGTTGTGTGTGGGAGCGGTAAAGTCAGTGCAGATTGATCCTAGCAGCTCCACCACATCCACTGTGAACATCTGCAAAGCAGGCATCTGCCTTGTGGCACCCCCACAAGCAAAGTTCCTCTAGCCAGGTGCCTGCTCTGGCAGGAGCGGGTGAGCTGCATACCCCCTTGCTGCATGTCTCCCAGAGTGGACTGTCCCCATTTAGTACACCACTGGTAAAGGGTATTGATATGTGACAGGTACAACTGATTATTATTTCTTCTATCCCCTGGCATTGTGGGATTAGAGCATAAACATATAACATGGGTTGCACTTATCAAGGGTCTAGAAAGAGTCTCATCGTCTCTCACATGAAGGCATCTTTATATTCTTCCAAGGGATATAAACTCTAAAATAAAAGACAAACTGCAAAGGTCTGCTAAAAGTATTTAAATACTGCGAACAAAAATACAGCTTGAAGTTAAAAAAAACAAACAACCTGTGACTAAAAGGCAGGAAATTTGATATGGTTCTATGGCTTCTGGCTGGAACTCCTCTGTATTGTAATGTTGTGTCTGCATATATCCAGTTTCACCAGAAATTCCGACAACTATATAGATTAAGTTGTATTATATTTCATGTATTTTGTCAGTGTTATACTCACAATTTTTTTTTTTTTTGTAAATCTTTTTTATTGATTTTATGAGGAAGGAAAAAGAGCATTTAAGTATAAACAATAACAATAGTGGGGACTCGCAGGTCCCTATTGCAACTGGAACCATAATGTCATACATAAAACAAGTGTATTGCCCATTATTTAAGTCAATTTCAAGTCGATGTAGACGGGATTTTGCGAACGAGTGTATACCAGCAGTCATCACAGTTTGTGGTAAAGAGTTTCTCTCTTCTCCCTGACAAAAGTATGTATGTCGTTAAGCTACTTCAGAGAGGGCCGCATTTCGTAGGCCTTCCATGTCCCCAAGAACAACCAGGTCCCTGCAGCTAATGAGGCGTAATGCAATGGTGGTGGTTCGGTCAGCCTGTGCGTCCCCGGGTTCCTAGATGTCTCATGCGGTCAATATATACTCACAACTTTTAAGACTTTTCTTTCTGTGTAAACATTAAACCAAACTGTTATATGTGATAAAATCAGTAATTAGGAAATTAGGACCATTATTCAGATTCTTACACAATGGCAGCCCATTATCTGGATGTAATCACTGGCCTGGGACCCCATATGGAGAGTTTATACAAACCGTAAATGCAGACTGTCTCAAACTGAGTGAATGTAGAAGACCCAAACAGTAGTATGGCAAAAAGATACAAATGCTTTGGAAATCCATCAAAATATAGTACAGTTGGCTTCAAGGTAGTAAATAGCAAAAAGTATTTTCTATTTTTGGAAAAAAATATTTTATGGAAACTGGACACGATGAAGAAACATAGAGGGAATAATACAATCTTATTTACACATGGGCTTACTTGAGTGACACGAGACTCTAGATCCATTTCAAATGTGTTCTTCTATTTGTGGCTCATTCAATAAGCAGGGAATTGTGCTTCATTCATAAGAGATTCAAATATAAAGGCAATGGTTTGGTTCTGATTATTTTATAAACATCATGAACTGAATGTCAAAGTAACTAAAGCTTTTACTTTCTAATGTATATAGATATGTATTAAAAATGCTATAAAAATCCAATTTAGCGATAACTAAACAAACTATTGATCAACGCTACCTAAAGGCAGTGTAGACAAAATATTTAAGCTTTATCAAAGTCGCTGTCTTGTTCATTTGCTGTGCATTTTCCTTATGGGTTTGCAGACACACATATTATGCAGATAAAAAGTTGCAGATTGTTTTATAAACCAAAATGTTATAAATATAATAGTAAACATGATGTACACCTAAAATTGAATTTCCAAAGGTGTTGTACACGAGAGCAGTTACTAATGTATTAATGTTTTAACTATATATTGGGGCTGATGTGCACTGTGGGCATTGCTGCCGCCCAGGAGTGATGGGAGTGAGCACAGGACTTATCTTTTTGAATTTGTATTCACTTTTTGTATCACACAGCTTTGTTAAAATGCTGCCGCCCATCCCATGTGTTCCCTATTAAGGGTTAATAAGTATGTAGGGGTGTATATAAAAAATACCCTTTTCTGTCTCATTAGAGATATATTTGCCAGACGCTCAAGGAGGCAGGGTGCAGGGTCAGTGTAGGACCCACTTAGGGGTCTCTGCCTTGATGTTGGCAGGCCGGCATTCCCTCCAATGGCCATTGTAGTAACTAAATGACCTCCATTTGTCTAAATATACATAGGGATTAAGGAGAGAGCGCAGGTAACTTTTTTTTTTTCTTTGGTTTTTAACTAATGTATTAATGTATACCCAAGTATTGCAATATTGGCTACCTGGAATGTTTCATGCAGTGGTTATGGTGCTTAGACTGTACTTTGGAGAAATCATAGCCTTACTCAACTTATCCTCTTTTCTTTTAGGCATACTGTGTTCAGAATTGCCCACTCCTTTTTGATGTATTTGTACGCAGTTGATGTATTCATTATATATGGGGGGGTAGACATAGGCAATGTATTACCTAAAATATGCTAAATTATCTGCAATAACAAACAAAAAAAACACTTTACCATACCATCTTATTTAACAAGAGAACTGAGCAATGTATGACGAGATTCTATTTTTATTTTATTTTTTCTATGGATTTGTTCCTGCCATTTTGTCTCATACTTTTGATTAGTCAGATGTTTCCAAAATAGGCTTCGTGTTAATCCATGGACAAGTTTCAGCTTTATTGTACAGTTTCAGTAAACATTGAATTCACATGGGCCTCAGTAAACACTCACAGATTTATTCACAAAAGTGGAAATTGTCAGGAGTTCAATGGGAAATTAATAGTAGACCAAACCTAGCTGAACTTGAAGTATAACTGACTTGGAGATTTTCTTCCATTTAATCTACTTTGGCTTTAAATTTTAAATTAACTTTGAATTCCCAATAATTCTTATTTTAGTGAAAACCCCTTCTAGTAGATTAGGTTTCTGAGACTAAAAACATTTAATACTTTTATGAACAGTATGGATAGCGATGTATTGGCTGAAATTACAATGTAGATGATGTAGCAGAAATGCACAACTGCTGCTTGCTAAGGATATTTTATCCTTAGAAACATCAATTAAAGTGAATCGAAACAATTGGCCTAAGTGATCATAGGCCAATTCATTCCATCCAATAGTTCCAGTAAATATATTAATAATGGATCTATATGAAAACTTAGTAAACCTGGGAAGACCCACAATTGGTCAGCTTGCGTGTAAAATAAGTTGAGGTAATTTAAACATGTTTGTAATTGAAAAGTCCAAAGTATGAGGCCTACCACCAATAAAATAGCAAAACAATAAAAATCACCATAATGTCTGTTGTTTCACGTGACGTTCCATTTTAAAATGTTTTCAAATTGATGTTAAAGATTTTGCATATTCCAGTTCAGTCTAGGCACAGCAAGGGCACACATTCTAAACGAGGAAAAAAAAAAGAGGAACATTGTTTCGTTTCCCCTCCTTTTCCTATGTTTTCTCTACGTTGACTTTGAGGTGGAAAAGGTAGAGTTTGTAAAAATTATTATCTGGGAGCTAAAACGGCGGTGCCCATCTGCAAGATAAGGTGGTGTGGATATCTGCATTTCAGTTATATTTCAGAACTTACAAACACATAGTTGGTAAATATGGGGGATAAGAAAAATATAATGAAAAATACTGGGTAGTGATATCTCCTGTTTAATTCCACTGCATATGTTTGGGGATAAAGTATAGTAAAAGGGGAAGAGAACCACATCCCTTCTTCCATTATGTAGTGGAATGGGGCAATAATGGATATAAAAGTAAAAAAGTATTCTTCCTGTATATATATGTCAAGGAATGTCTTATTCACTAAAGTAAACAGTATGCTCAGGCCACACATATAGGGATTATAGAAATGTACATCCTTTTATTTTCTGAAGGAGACATTACGCTTTCTCAATTACGATGACAGGAAACTCTGCTGCTTTTGTTTTTTGTTTTTATAAAGATGAGATCTCCAGTTACGTGGGGGCTTCGGATGGTGAGGTTATAGCTGCAATGATTTTTCAAAGTGTTGTGAGGTAGGTGACATTGCAAGGGGATCTCTTTAGACCATAACCGGGTGCATAGCATAGGTGTCATCTTCAGGTATGTTTTATTTCAACTAATGGCATAATATCCATTACCTGATTATTGTCTGTAACTACCTTTTGGAAAGTATAGTAAGCAGGGATGCTGGGTTGCATTTTATTTTTATTTTTTTTACCAACTGGGAAAGTTTGAGCTTGTATATTAAGTCAAGTAAATTATTTTTTTTATGCTTCAAATGCATGAAAGTCACCCAGATTCCTGGAGTATTTATTTAATTGTTAATACAAGGCAAAGATGTGCAAGCTAAATCACGAAATTCCAGGAATATGGGAAGTTGCACTTACTGGAAATTCTGCTGACAAACGCCATATTCAGAAATATAAAGCTGAAAAATACAAAACAATCATTATCATATTACAAATAAACTATCAATACAAATTCAGATTTATCACCGGTTTGGCCTGTTGGCTATCTTCTGCTGTGAAAAAACATACCACATGCCTTACTACTTGCGCATTAATGATTTCCAGTGAATGGAAAAGCTACGTTTTACAATTTCTAGAAACACATAGATGTTGTAAGAGTTGTATTTCAATCCACAATGCTCTTTCTTTAGTGCATCACCGTACTCATGGTTTGCATTAATATGACTTGTTTTCTTGTCATTCTCCTAATTATGGAATAAGACATTTGAATTAAAGGGACTCTCCAGTGCCAGGGAAACATATCCATTTTCCTGGCACTGCAGGACCTTGCAGTGCTCCTTTCCCTTCCACCACCATCCCATGTTGCTGAAGGGGTTAAAACCAGTGACTTACCTGAATCCAGCGCCAATGTCCTTTGGTGCTGGGTCAGGCTCCTCCCACCATCCTCTCCCTCCATCAGCCAGCGGGGGAGACCTAATGCGCATGCGCGGCAACGGCAGCGCATTAGACCTCCCCATAGGAAAGCATTATTCAATGCTTTCCTATGGGGATTCCGGCCACGTTGGAGATCCTCATGCATAGCGTGAGGATCTCCAACTTCGTTTAAAACACTTTTCTTGTTCTAAGAACATGGAAGTCCCTCTAGTGGCTGTCTGATAGACAGCCACTAGAGGAGGAGTTAACCCTGCAAGGTAAATATTGCAATTTATAAAAACTATACAAAACAAGATACACCTAGAACAAACAAAAGCAGAGAGAACTCATAGGGAAAAACAGTTTAGTAGAAATGTCCCTGCTGTAAATATTGCACATTGCATATTTACAGCAGGGGCATTTCTACTAAACTGTGTTTTCCTATGAGTTTTCTCTGCTTTTGTTTTTTTTAGGTGTCCTTTGCTACAGCCTAGATTTAGAGGGAAGTAATTAATCTTTATCTCTATCATACCGCTGCACCTGGGTGGTCTTTTGATTCTGATTTATATACATAGTTTATAAAAACTGCAATAATTACACTTGCAGGGTTAAGGGTAGTGGGAGTTGGCACCCAGACCACTCCAATGGGCAGAAGTGGTCTGGGTACCTGGAGTGTCCCTTTAATTGTGAATTAAATGGAAACAGCCTTTAATTATTTTTTTAAATATTGTTAAATTCGGGGCCAGACCTTACCAGCAATCTGTGAGGATTTTTTTGCATTTCAAACACACTTTGCACAGATTTCCCAGCATATGGCCAAATAGAAACAAACACCAAGACATCCAGCCTAGTGTGTGACCACAAGGTTTTCTTGAATCTGTGCAATTGCAGGCCCCACTGTCTAGTCCTAAAATCAAGAGGTCAAATAACAAACGATTATATACCAAACTTCAAATTTGATGTACGATCTGCACCTTGGATCCAGTAGAGTAGAGTAGGAATGTTTACTTTTATCACATCAATTTTCCTTTTGTTCAATTGGTACTTGTCAGATTTCTATGGAAATAGTGCATATTTTGAACAATTACAATAACCTGTTAGGAAATTCAATTTAACAGCTAAACTTTTATTTGTTACATAGATTCTCAATCTTGAGTTCATGTGAAACCGCTACTTCTCACCCTTCTGTGATCTCAGTTTTCACCGACAATAAAATTACACATTGGTGCTATGTGAGCAAGTTCCAGATTATGATCCAAATTCTTAATTTAATATCTATATTTTGTTTCTAATGGTTCCAATGTATTATTCTGTTTGGACCATTGCTGATTCAAGCTGGTACCTTTTCATAACTAAAAGGTCCAGATTTTAGTTGTTAAATTCTCATAATGATCAAGAGCTGATTTCAGGACCTGTTTGATATTGGAGCAGATAGTCATATATGGCTTTACCCTTGTTTTCTCCTCAGTAACGATATACACAACAATAGTTCTTCAGTTATCTGCAAAACAACTAAAACTTAGTTATCTCAGAACAAATCCATTTCTAGAAACTTGTAAATAAATCAAGTGCTCTTCATTATACCCACGGTCCCTTCCACTATAATATAGTACTACCTCTTACTGCTGAAATAACTTGAGCTATATTCAAATGAATGCCAGGGCTTTAAACATTACAGGTAAAAAGAAAGTGGAATTGGCTCAATATAGCAGAAACATTAAACCATTAGTTACTCATAAAGACTGCACTTTATTCATGGACATATTGTCCTTCATTCTATAACTACACACATTTTCAACAGGTCCACCTGCTTTCCAGGCAAATTCAATATGTACAGTTGCAAAATACGTTTGTATTAATAGATGTCCCCAGGTTATTAGAAATAAGTGTACCACTTTTTACAGTTTCAGAACTTTTTGAGATTTCAATTTGTCTCTGATAGTAATAAAAATAAAATTTGTAGTGTATTGAACACAAGGGGTTGAACAAATTGTGTTTATCCAAGTATGCGTGTTAATCTTTGTCTATGATTGGGTTTTAATGTGTATCTCTGTATGTGTGTTAGTGTGTCTCTATTTATACATGTCAATATACATGTGTTTATGTGTTTGGATGCTTGTATGTGTCTAAGTATACATGTTAGTGTGTGTGTATGCATTTTGATGTGATGCTATGTATAAGTGTGTGTATGTCTATGTATGCATGTTAGAGCATGCATGTGGCAGTGGCATTATTTACGTAAGTTGATGTTTACTTTCACAGATGCTGTAGGCTAAAGCTTCTATGAAATGTAATCAACTAGCTCTAGTCACTAAACAGTGAAATTTGGAGAATAAGCTAAAGTATTGAATTCAGCTGAAGTTACAACTCTGCTATTTTTGTCCTATATATTGCAACTTGCAAGTTAATTCTCAAATCACCATAATTCTTAGTTTCATGTTTCTTTGTCAACTATTGTTACATCTATTAGTTTGCCAAATGCCTGCAGGTAGAGCTATTCTTTCCATACAAAATGTGAGAATGAGGTTATGCTATTGTATGTACACTTTCACTTTATTTCCTTGAATAATAATGGGACTCTTAGCACGAAATGTAATTCCACAACTTCCTGGCTTTAATCACACAGTAGAACAACACACCCAGGCCTAGAGAATGGACAAAAAAAGTTAAAATCAAGCAGCAGCGGTTGTGCCATCATGCATCACATGTCACAAAACAAGAAAAAAAACCATAGAGAACTGAAAACAAAATGGCAACATGTTTCTGATTAAAAAAAAACAAAAATCTTCATCTTAGCTATAGTCAGACAGTGTCTGTTTTTGCCTTAATATTGCAATTAATTTTTCAGTACACTAAAATTTGGTGTTTGGTGAATTTTGTGTATTGAGACACACCTCTTAATTATTGAATTTAGGTGTTTAGGAGGTGATAGGATGCCACCTTTGTAATTAGTTAGTTTGTGAAACTTCATCCCTGCTAGATATTCCATAGTCAACTGTAAGTAGTATTATTGGAGAGTGGAATTGTTTAGGAACAGCAGCAACTCATCCACAATGCGGAAGACCATGTAAAGTCACAGTGCGGGGGTGCATGGTGCGTAATAGTCACCAACGCTCTGCTGATTCCATAGCTGAATAGTTACAAACGTCCACTGGCATTAATATCAGCACAAAAACTGTGCAGCGGGAGCTTGGGAATGGGTTTCCATGGCCAAGTAGCTCTATGCAAACCTCACATCACCAAGTCGCCAAGTGTCAGATCGAGTGGTGTAAAGCTTGCCGCTGCTGGACTCTGGAGCAGTGCAAACATGTTCTGTGGAGTGACAAAGCACACTTCTCTGTTTAACAATCTGATAGGTAAGTCTGTGTTTGGCAGATGCCAGGACAATGTTACCTGTCTAACTGCATTGTGCCAACTGTGAAGTATGGTGGAGGAGGGATAATGGTATTAGGCTGTTTTTCAGGGTTGGGCTAGGTCCCTTACTTCCAGTGAAGTTAAATTTTAATGCTTCAGCATACCAAGACATTTTGGACAATGCTATGCTTCCAACTTTGTAGAACAAAAATCTACATGCTTATCTGAGAAAGGCCATGAAACTCAAACTTGTCTTCCTCTTTATCAAGAATAACTCAGACTTCACAAACTCAATCTCAGCTCCTCAACAGGATACAACTCACTCACACTAAGTTTAAAGAAACACAGGTCACTACTGTCCTGTCACTATTTGTCCAATCACTAACTTTATTCTAACCTACTTGCCAAATTAGTGTCCACTTCTTTCTTTTTTTCTATCTTAAATGGACACTGTAGGCACACAGACATCTTCAGCTAATTGAAGTGGTCTGGGTGCAATGTCCCATAAACCTGCAATAGTAATTATTGCAGTTATTGAGACACTGCAAAAATTACTGTTCAGGGGTAACTCCACCTCTATTGGCTGTCTGCCAGACAGCCACTATAGGGCTTTCCGGTTTGAAATGGACCTTTGGTCCATTATCTGGTTCTGAATGTCCTCATGCCTTGCATGAGGACTTCCAGCGTTAGATTTTTCCTCATAGGAAAGCATTGAATAATGCTTTCCTATGGGGAAATCCTAATGCAAGCGCGGCCATTGCCACACATGCTTGTTAGGTCTCCCCCGTCGCAGGGGAGGAGCATGGGCGGAGCCTGACCCAGCACCGAGGGACATCAGCGCTGGATTCAGGTAAGTGACTGAACGGGTTTTAACCCCTTCATCCCGCGTGAGGGTGGTGTGAAGGAGGGGGGTCTTGTAGGATTCTATAGTGCCAGGAAAATTACTTTGTTTTCCTGGCACTATAGAATCCCTTTAATGCCTCTCTTTTCTCAGATTTCAACAATGTTTGTTGTGTATGAATACGTAAAAGAGATTCAAGGAAGCAAAACTCACAGTAACACGTCTTTTAACAACAACAATAAATGTGTCCTCTTTTTTTAAATAAAATTGAATAGCACATAATTGCCCTGTCCCCATGCCGTACCTCTAGCTAAAACCTTAAAATGAAATTGTCCCTTTAGCCATTTAAAATATTTGGGAATTACATTGAGGCATAACATCCTGTAGAGATTTTTAGTATAATTTACTAAACCTGAAATCATGGAGAAGTAACACATGACATTTAAATTTTAGGGGAAAATAACCAGGCTTTTTTTTAGCTTATAATTTGCATTCTCCTAGTCAACTCTCTATAGTTCTTAATACATTGAATAACTGAGAATTTGACATGCCTTTGGGTCCACTTACAAACAAAGTGACATGGCTTTCAGTGATACACGGAATACATAACACATTCAAAACATAGATACATTAGCACAAGATTTTAAAAAGGTACTAAATTACCTGCTTGAATAGACTGGAACTTCACTGACTAACATGTGTAGGCTTGTTGCTATGGAAATTCATTCATCACGAGAGCTCCTGTTGCCTGAGGCTAACATCTGGGTTGTACATACAATTGATGTCACCAGATTATGCTTTACTGATACACCTTTCTGTTACACCTTTCTGTTATGTTGCTTCAGGACAGTATGGCATTAAAAACAAGGTGATGTCAACATGTTTAAACCAGTTTACCTCCGTTTTACCTTGTTTAAAATTCTCTACAGTATGCATGCCTGTCTGTTAAATTGAATATCAAATATTTTTTAAACATTTCTTTCTCACCAGCTAATTAATTTCAAATTAGTAACTACAGTTACCTGGAAGCCCCCTCCTAAAATAGACATGAATTTCACAACATTATACCAACTCCAACAAAAATAATTTTTTATCTATCTTACAAGTCTTTGTCATGTTAAATCTAATTCCCAATGTAGAATTATTAACCTCTTTGTTACTGAGTTTGTGTGTTTTTTTTTTTTCTTGGTCATAGGTAAAATGCATTAAAACATAAACTAAAAAACAAACTGTAAATTGGTGTATATATTGTACATACTGCATTTATTTGTTTAACACCTACATATCACTGATGGTTTTTTTCACTAAGGTTTAAATTTCCAGGAGGATTTCAAATGTTAGGTAAAAATAGTTGATCTAAAAACATTGCTGACTTTACTGAATATACCTGCCAGTGTCCCGTATCTTGACATAATAATAGAAATGGGTTATTGATATATTAATGTAGAAGCCAAAATCCAATTATTGTTCTATAGAAAAAATGCTGTTAAGGGCAAATATTGTGTTTATGGGTCATTTATAAGAAATGTGAGTCCATTTTATGAAAAGGCAGATTCCCAAACAAAAACAAGAATACATAAATGTCATATATAGTACAGATGCCTGGCTCAAGCAAGGCACTTGTACAGTTGCTGTTCACAAGTATGTTTCTACAGAATGAACATAGCCTATAATCATAGAGATTTTGCAATGTAGAATAATATTTAGCCATTGTATAGCTGGGTTACGAATGAAACATAATTGCAATGGCCAGCCAAACCATTCTGTATTAAAAAACATATTTTGTATTAAAAAATGCTTTTTGTAAATATTTCAATATTTGATTCTGTTTTAATGTTCTGTGCTGCTGAAAATGATTGTGCCTTAGAGCATAAATAATTATACACTGCATCTCAAAAAGCCATTATTCCAAAACACAAAATGTTAATTAAACGCAGCAATGTCATCAATTTGATAAACAGGTTAGTGGAATTAATTTAGAGACCGATTTTGATTTGTTTCAGTAAGTGCTAGGATATTTCACTGTTTGCTTCCGAGAAAAAAACAAACATCAAGTCTCTTGTAAGTTCAAAGTGTGGTGTATTACCAAATGTTTACCAACCTCGCATAATAGGCAAGGCCCAAGATTTAATCTCCTAGTAGATGGATTACCTTAACTAAAGTGCATTTCAGTGGAAATCATTATATATTATCTATATTTGTTATAGATCATTAATGCAACATGTATTTTTTTCACATCAAAGTCAAAAACAAAAGCTTTATAAAATATTGAAAGAGTATTATTTTGGGGAAACAGTTTAGGAGAAGAAGCTGAGCTAATCTACTCTTTATTTTAGTATACAGTTAGCAAGCTGGTTCTCAAGTTACAGCAGAACAGTCTGTTATAGGCACACTATTTCAAATGTTACACCTGATCACCTTTTTATATTATGTTGAACCATAAAGGCACTACTGTTAAACACACCAAGCACCAAAATCACTGGGCTCCGCTCAGTGGAGCTTCCGTCTTCAGCAGAGACTGTGACTGACACTTGGAAAGCCCCAGATAAGTTGTCAAACTGATTGCAACATATTTACCTACTTACCCTGGGAGGGAACTATGGGCACAATAACCACTACGGCAGGTTGGTTGGGATGGAGAATTGGTGTGTGGAGTGTTCTTTAAGGTGCCTTAATTTTATTTATTTTATATACCCTTTTTCCCCCTATTTGTTTCTTCTGACTTGCAGTCCGCAAGTTTGCAGTCAACATATTTGTGCCAAATATGCCCAAGTGCTTTTTACATAATCAGCCTTAGATACTATGGTACCCATTGTTCCACAGTACCCTTACATACCTTACTACACTGGAAGATATGTATCCTGGACAAGGGTTGTGTCTGGGACACCAGGGGCAGAGATGAGGAGCAAATCCACATGTTAAAGGGGCAGATCTATTTGAAAAGATGGCATGCCAGCCTGGCGTGTTTAATGATTCACTCGCACTTGGCTGAGTGGAGACATTTCCCCGGTGGTTCCAGATGCAAGACAACAAGCAAGAAATCCAGCCAGAATGGAGGTACAGGAGTCGGACAGGACAGTTGATAGTTATGCTCTTAGTAACCAATGTGAAAGAGAACATCACTGTATAGAGTTATGTGCCAACAGCATACCTTTCAAAAATGAAAGATATGGATCTGGGACAGAGGGGTGTGCCAGCCACTAATGGTGTTGACGGGGTTGTCCAACCTGTAAAGTGGTGGGCCTGGGCAGCACACATGCCAATCTGACTTACAGCTGCTCTGGCCAGACTCAGTGCACTGTTTAAGCTCTCTAAGTTTACTCTGCATAGTGCAAGCATATCTAATGTTTGGATCTCACTTGCAGGCTTTTGTGGACACCAGGGAACAAATCTAGGATGGCAGGGCAGGAGCTGGAAATTAAAATTCTCCCACCATATCTGGCAGAGTCGGGTAATATGCACCGGTAGTTCCTCATTGCAATAGCTATAGATATTTTTACTAAGCAAACCTTTCCTGCCCAAGGGGTATTGCACTCTGGTATGGAAACGATCATAGCATGTTGGTTGCCACTTCTAAACAGATAAATACTGTAATACTGTTATAAATAACCTGCAAAGCTAAATGAAATAATACTTCATAGTCAGGTCGTATTCAGAAAAATGAAAAGCTGTTATGTGTGTTTTAGGAATCCGGTTTAACAACTAATACTGCCAAGAGTTCACTAGGTCAAATAGAAGAAAAGTGATTCAGCTGCATAATATATTGTGTGTGGAGACATAACCAAACCAAAGATGTTTTTGATTTTTATTTTGCATTGTCATTCGTTACTTAAT